TTTATAGCTGAGGCACATTCAGCCTGAAGATGAAGTGATATATTAACTTCTTGATCAAATGCCAGAACTTAGAGATGAATATGAAACAGACATCAATAATTACAGCTTGTACTGTAGCCGCTGGTTTCTAAACCTTTAAGTTCAATGAACAAGTAATAACTGGACAGACACACCCTTCAGAAATTAGAGGTGGGAAAAGATTACCTCATTCCATACCTGTCACACAGCAGGCCCCCTGCAGCAATACAGCAAGAGGCAGTCCAAGGGCCCCAGAGGAAGTAAAGGCCCGGGCTTCTAGAACAATGCCAGGGAGTAGGCACAACTGGAAACCTGGCACAGAGGCCAAGGCTTCTCTTGGGTACTACCCTCTTCTCTCTTTCCATTCCCTTTTATTCTGTGCCTCCTAAAGAAACCTGTCTGGATATAAAAGGCAGGTACCCAAATTCAATGTTTTAAAAATGCCATCTCACTAGGAACATTTTTATGCCTTTTCTACTTAAATCTAAAAAGAGGTTACTAATACTAATAAAAATATAAGTACCTTCAGCTAATTCTTGATTTTACAAGCACATCTAAAAACACAGCATATTAAAAAAATTAAAAAATAAAAAATAAAAACACAGCATACTCCATGATATTTAACGTAGTCACCCCCCCCCCAAAAAAAAACCCACAGAGTCACCCCACCCCCAAGAGCCTGTAGTTGTATTCTGGGGATCAAGATCACAAAAGCCAGTGTGGCGGGAAGCTACTCTGATGGCACCAGGCTGAAGAAATTCTAGCAAAATGAACACTTATCTCTGTAATACTCACAAGTGGGCAGAAGGAGATATTGCTGAAGAAGCAACACACTTCATTTTAACACAACAGCACAATGGTTTAGAGGTTTCTTCATGGCCATCTTGATCGGCTACATGCCACCATGTTCTTAGCCAGAGTCATAAATCCCTTCACCATTACGTCCCAGGCTGATGACAGCTCCAACACTGAAGTGTAAGTGTGTGTGTGTGTGTGTGTGTGTGTGTGTGTGTGTGTGTGTGTTTCTTTCAAGGTGAGCAGTGTTGAAAGGGGATGAAATAAAGACTACAGAAGGCAGTTCTGCTCATTTAATCAAAATCTATAGAGAACATCCCAACCTCAAAATGGAAAATGGGGTCTTATTGTCTCAGTATGCTACAGAGGTCATGAATAGATATACGCTGATAAAATAATCTTTTGATAGTTCACTGAAATTTACTCTAACATATATTCCACTTGCTAGCAGAAAGTCTCTCACTAATTTAAATCTGAAAACCTAGAAAGATGCTCTGATTATTTCATAATAAAAACTAATTCCTTGAAATTCATTGCCCTGGGTTTCTAATGCCTTAGACTTTCAAAATACTTGAAGATCCATTACCATGTTAAAAGGCAGTGATGCCACAAATAGCAATCTACATTTGGTTTTGGAAAAAGATTTCCGTGTACATATTTTGTCCAAATATTACTATTTGTTTCATGAAAGTCAGGACTAAGACTTTAGTAGAGTGTAAATTTTAAGCCAATGAATAAACAGTTGGCTTGAAAAAATATTAAATTGACATGCAAAGCATTTGCTGCTCTGCCAGATACTAAAAATAAAAGCAACTTCTGCCAACATGGAAAAACTTGAATTGTTTTACTTGGTTCTGAATTTGACTACTGGGTTTCACACTAAGTTAATTTTCCAAAATGAGGTCTGACATAACATTACCTTGTCTCCCCAAAACCTTACCTCATAAAAAAACACACACAACTGGCATCTTACAAAATACCAACCTCATAATTGTTTTATAGTGTAGCAGGGCATAACGTTTCTAAAAAAGTGGTATCTTGGCCTAACAAATAGAAATTTGGACATTTTTGGGACACCTGTGTGGCTTGATGGTTGAGCGTCTGTCTTAGGCTCAGGTCGTGATCCTGGAGTCCTGGGATCGAGTCCTGACTCAGGCTCCCCACAGAGAGCCTGCTTCTGCCTTTGCCTATGTCTCTGTTTCTCTCTCTGTGTCTCTCATGAATAAATAAAATCTTAAAAAAAAAATTTGGACATTTTGAAAATTAACCTTCAAACGTAAGAATTAAATTCAAACTTGTCATAGAGTAAACAATAAATGAGGTTATTAAAATACTTGAAAAGAGAATATTTTAGACCAAAGGTATCAGGGAAATCAGTAGATTTTAAATACAAGGTTCTAGGCTGCTACTCAAAGTTCAGATAACATTTTATTCCCATCGTTGGCCTACCCCTCCCTTAGCTGTGTCTCTAAAAAAAATAAGTGTGCTTAAAATATGGAGTTTGAGATTTATGATCAGTTGCAGAAACCTGTTTAACTACTGATTTACAGTTTTGGCCAAGGTATTTAACTCTGTCATCAGAACTAATTATAGCAAACCTGAGATTATATATTCAAACTCTCCTTTTGGTGAAAGAAATAGAATGTTCTGCTGAAAATGAGAAACATCCTGAGGGCTCCCAACAAGAACGCACTACCAACCTTACTTCTCAGAACCAGCACAATAAAGCTCAAAATTACTGTTCCTTAGTAAGTTGTTTTAGCCTGAAGTACTGAAACAGTAAATCACAGTTACATTAATGCCACACCAATGGCCTGAAATGTATTAATCTCAGGTAACAATAACTGACATTATATCCCTCGTCTAATTCAGGCATTCAAGCAGTAGTAAATGCACACGCTGAAGCTTCAGGAACTGAAGTTATTACTGATCCAAAAAGAATCCGCATTTTGCTGTGAACAGATGGAGAAGACAAATGACTACACTTTTTGGGCAACATGGGTGCTCTAAGAATAATGTTCCCATTTTATTGCTTTACTGAGCAAAATGTCTACTTCAAATTAAAGCTGGTAAAATAAAACTGGTCCCGACGACATGCCAGCAGGGTTCATCATAGACAACCAGTCCTCTCCTCTCCTCCAATCCCTCCCTTCCCCCTCCCCGCCCACTATACCATATTTTAGGACTTTTCACAACCCAGGCTCCCCAAAAATGAAGACTTATGAGATGCAGCCCACTCATCAAATGAGGCCGCTGCTACATTTGGTTCTACTGTAATGCTTTCTACTGGGTTAAAATGCTCCTGTCTGCAGGAGAGCCCCAAGGACAGCAGCCTTACCACCAGCACTGGCCAGGCTGTAGAAGGGCTTCTACGGCTGGGGCTGGACTTTGGCTCATAGGCTCTTAAGTCAGCCTTTCAAGAGGCCACTCTGGCAAGGCCTCAGCATGAGCAGAGAGGGGAACATGGCTGCAGGGGTCACTAAGTGCTCTAAGGAAGCGGATATAGGAAAAGAAAAATGAGACAGAGCTTGCAGGGAAATGCCCACCCATGGGCCCAGTGCGTAAGAACATCTACACTATTCACCTGTGCCATAATAACATATTTAATGTGTCAGGCAGAAGCATGAACTGCACAGTGGATATTTCCCCCATGATGGATTTTTTTTAGGGAAAAGATTCCTATATTGTACATCTGTATTCCCCTATTAAGAGTCTGAAATGTAATGTTGTAGGTAAACTCAACAGGGGATATTAAATAATAAAATACGAGATTTTCCAGTATTTGGTCTGGACACTTTTTCAGGATGAATTCTACAAGAAGATACATAATCTCTTAAAATCTTGCTTTTTCTATACTAGCTCTTCTCACCTAAGTAGAAGCAAGATATGATTTTTGTCCTTTTAAATCATAACTAGTTATTTCCTTACTCCAGAACACAGAAAAAACATTAAATAGGCTACCACAAATTCGTAAAATTTTGTTACTATTTTAAGTCTAAAAATAAAATAATAATAAAACAATAATCATAACTAATTTTCTAATGATCCTGAATGTATGTTATCAACACAGAGAAAGTTAATACCAGCCAGCAAGAAAACCTCTGACGAAGACTGAGGAAGGGAGGTGAACTGATGAAAGCAGGGATAAGCAGCTCTTAACCTTTACTAAGTACTTGGCAGGGAGCTGTCAAACTAAACACCCAGTCTTTTTTGCCAGTTTCTTATATGATTGCTCAAAGCTCCTTCTAGTTAGGACTATGAAACACATATCTAGTGAAAACTATTTCCTATGGCACCAATCCACCTCATCTTCATTAATTCATTCCATCTTTAAAGAAGCAATAGGGAGGAGTGCCTGGGTGGCTCAGTCAGTTAAGCATCCGACTCCTGACTTCCACTCAGGTCATGATCTCAGGGTCCTGGGACCAAGCTCCATATCGGGCTCCATGCTCAGCACCCAGAGTGCTTGGGATCTCTCTCCCTCTGCCCTTCTCCCAGCTCGTGCTCTCGCTCTCAAATAAAGAAAATCTTAAAAAAAAAAAAAAAAAAAAAGTAATAGGAAAGAGGAATAAAAACAAACTATGTTCTTGGAAGGTTCTAAGTTGTATCTTCTGGAGTTATAACTGTCTAATACAATTATACCATCTTCTCTTCTAAGAACCATCTCATAATTTAAGGAATGACATGGATGAGAGAGATTTTTAGGAAGACATTTCCAGGCAGAGCTGAATTTAAATCATCATCCAAATACTACATTCTGACCTTTTTAAAATTTTAACATTTTATCTGAAGGTATACAAAATTTAGTCAATTGCTGTCATTATTTGACTGTGAAATATCAACTCTATTGCCTCCAATAAAGAATAATTACTTTTTTAACATTAAGATAATTAAAGTCATTTGTAAAGACAGTATCAATTGAGACTTCATTGCACTACTAATCTATTATAAACAAATGCCAATCTTAAAACATAATTCCAGAGTGAGTGCAGTTACACTGGGTACAGAGAAGAACGAACAAGGAGCTCCCTGGCTATGCTACACCAAATGGATGAAAAGTAAAACTGATTTTATACTAGAGGGCTAAATAAATAAATAAATAAATATTTTCCCCCCAGTATGTATGCTTAGATTTCTCATACAAATAACAGATCACTCCATCTTATTCACTTCAATAGAAGGAACTCTTTAGAAAAAGACTGAAAAGATTTAATAACCAACTCCCAAATTTTATGCTTATTTTTCCAACTTCTATTAGTCTTCTGATATAGTTAACATTATCAGCAAATTGAGCAGTTGAAGACTCAGGTAAAAACCCAAGTCAAGACTCAAATGTCTTGAGGAATTCTGGCAAGTTACATATATCCCATGTTGCTCTTGGTTTCCCATCTCTTCTTTGCTTCAAACCTAAAATAAAGAACATAAAAAGCTCAATTTATTTCTAAATACTTTCCTAGACATGCTAAGTGACACAGTAAAATAAACTTCAAACATTTTCACATACTCCATCGATGACAAAATAATTATCAAAAAGGTTGAAGAGGGACACCTGGGTGGCTCAGCAGTTTAGCGCCTGCCTTTGGCCCAGGGCATCGCGGGATCGAGCCCCGTAACAGGCTCTCTGCATGGAGTCTGCTTCTCTCTGCCTATGTCTCTGTTTCTTTCTCTCTGCATCTCTCGTGAATAAATAAATAAAATCTTAAAAAAAAAAAAAGGATGAAGAAATGCCTCCATATTTATAATCTGATAAACACGCAGCAAAGATACAAAAAATAAAATCAGTAACAATCAGACACCAACTGGATTCATATGATGTATCCCAGGATTTCTGTAATTCCTATCAAGTTACTAGAATTATTAGTAAAAATCTTAAACAAACTTACCCCCATGCAAGTTTTTTCTTTTTTCGAGCAACCTGCGAATTTTCAGCATCCTTTTTGGCTTTTACAAAGTTGTGGCAGGCAACTGCTTTGGCAATTTTAACACCAAGCTAAGAGTTACAAAGGAGAAAAACAAACAGTGAAAAAGAAATATTCTAGCTCATACAAGAATTATAGTAATATAAATACTTGAGAACTTGTGGATAAGAAAGCCATATCTACAAATTAGGAATTCTTATGCTCAAGCCCCCTTGAAGGAGCAAAGTGAACAAAAGTACCGATGTGGCCCATATTTCCCTCTATACCCTGGCTGTCCCAGTCTCCTGGATGGAAATCCTTCCCAAACTGAGAGCCCTCGAGGGTCCACAAGGATATGATGCAGATCTTCGAGCTATTCCAGCATTTCAATAGGCCAAACAGGAATTCAGCCCTGATAAGGCTGCGCACACTGACAGAGACATCAAGTTTCCTTGCTCTGGGCTAGAATTACAGCAAGTCAGTATGGTCACATCAGTTATCTCGTGCTGATCAGAGGCTCTGATTGACAGTCATAGATGTGATTAATAAAACATGGGAAAGCTAATTACTGCTTCATAAACGCACTTTGTGTGATGGGCAATAGCTTTTAGTTCATGGATAGGAAACAGATATAGGGGTGCTAAGAGGTGAGAAGGCTGGGTACAAGGACTACAGTACCTGTGCTGCCTCTGTGGGCCCCTCGTTCTTGCTCAGTTTGACACCCATCTGCCCCAGTCCTGTAAGATTCAATTCAAACAAAGCCTTCTTCTTATCCCACTCCCCACTGAAGTCTTCTCTAAGTCAACCTTTAGTCTTTGTTCTGTCCTCCAGCCCTTCAGTCTCTATGCCATAACTACAGTTACCATATCCCGCTCTGCATAGGTCTGGCTGCTCTGCAAACATCTCCAGGACAAGTGTGGTGATCTTCTAGTTTTAGTGGCTCTGATTTTAAAAATGTCTGCCCACATGGATAGCTCAAAAATATCTGTTAAGAACCCAAGTTCAGCAACAAAGGCTAAAAATCTCCTTCTGGTGTTTCTTTCCTTTTCTATCCCTGAACTCACTCTAATGCATGTTAGGGGACAACAGACGTGGAAGAGAAGAAAGAACCTGGAAGCCACTGTCAAGTCAATGTGTTAGAGCCCGAGTGTCTTAGGGATCTGCTGGCCAACAGCAAGGCATCGTGGGCAGGTTAAGAGCACATGCATGAGAAGCCAACTTAGGAAAGTGAGGTTTGATATGCTTGACATTTCTTTCAGCTTATTTTGGAGAACAGTTTCCTCTAGGATAAAACGAACAAGTAGGAATCAAGCACTGCTTGGGGTTCATGAACAACAGGACACACCGATTTCATTTTCCAGTCCAAATGAGAATAGACATCAAGGATGGAAGTAACTCGGGCAGCCCGGGTGGCTCAGTGGTTTAGCACTGCCTTTGGCCCGGGGTGTGGTCCTGGAGACCCGGGATCAAGTCCCGCATCAGGCTCCTTGCACGGAGCCTGCTTCTTCTCCCTCTGCCTCTCTCTTCTCTCTGTCATGAATAAATAAAATCTTTAAAAAAAAAAAAAAAAGAATGGAAGTAGCTCAACAATCAAACCAAAGTGCTGAACTGGTCAACACCAATTGAAAAGCCACAGATGGAAGGATCAGTTGTGACTTAGGAGCCCACCTGAGAAAGAAGACTAACCTCAGAGTCTCAAAATTCAAACCAATACAACCAGCACCACTGCCACCTTCATTATCTTTTTTCATAGGACAACATTCACTCAACAAATAACATGAGGGCATAAAGGTATTGTCTGGCGAGGCATTGTTCTAGAAGCTAGAAGTACAGCACTGACCAAACTGAGTTTCACAGTTGGGGCTAGGCAAAAGGAGTTGCTAGTTACACTGGCTGTCTATCCATTTCAATACTGGCTTCCTTCCCTTGGTCATCCTTTTGTTTCCAGTTCTTCATCATAGAAAAGTTCAGATACAGCGACTAAGAAAAGGCTAAGAATCAAAGAGCTAGAGCATCACACCATCTAAGGAGAAAATGCAACTGCAAAGATCCTGTGGCTAATTTATCATTAAGATGGATTCCACTGAGGGATGCCTGGGTAGCTCAGTGGTTGAGCTTCTGCCTTTGGCTCAGGTTGTGATCCCAGGGTCCTGGGATCAAGTCCCACATTGGGCTCCCTGCAGGAAGTCTGCTTCTCTCTCTGTCTACATCTCTGCCTCTGTCTCTGTGTCTCTCATGAATAAATAAATAAAATCTTAAAAAAAATGGATTCCACTGAAAAATTATCCATTTGTCATAAACATCAAAATCAGGTTGGCACCTGTCAGGTTAGGCTAGCCAAAACTGTACCTCTCATACAAATCCCCAAATCCCACTGGCTGAACTTTTATATTTTGTTTCACTTCTAGTCAGCTATGGGCTCTCCTCCATCATGTGGCACCAGCATTTCAACGTCTGACTTTAAAGTTTGCTGCGGCAGAGGAAAAGAAGGTTGGAGGGTCTCACACGGAGTCTTAAATGCTTTCGTCCAGAGGTGACACATATTGTTTCTGCCCATAGTTCTCTATCACAACTATTCACACAATTCTGCCTAAAGCAAGGTGGCTGGGATCATGGGGGTGTTGTGGGCTCCCAGAGGAGCAGTGAATACACCTAAGAAACTGTCTACCGTCATAAAACACAGCTTGCTACCTGAGTTAGGATGTATGCCATGTCTCTCCACATTCATGTAGAATATTTAGTATCCTCTCTGCCCCTCACCCCCCACAAGGTAAAATGTAGAACTCTGTGTTTTTCTGTTTAACTATATTCCTATGTATTATGTATCAAATGCAAATTTGATATATGATATAGTTTTGCCAAGTCTACCTCCCAACAAAAGTCCCATTTGGCTAGTTTATCTTATATTTAAATTGAGCCTATACTTGGAGGATAAAACAAAAATGGTCTAAACCATATCTGCCATGTACCATTAAGCATGTGAAAAAATTATTTTCTAAAACTGTTGTAAATCAAGATGTAGCTTATATTTTTAACTTATTGAAATTTCCCAACATGGGTTTTCTGGATTGGGGGATGAGTAAACCAAAGAATATCTCAATGTGCTTGATTTAAATGTGGAGCTCATCAACATGGTCACAGACCCTAAGAAAGTAAAAGCTTTTTGTTTTCTGGCAACATTAAGGCCAAGCTAGCACAATCAGCATCACAGTAAGGATTCAGAGCATACATTCCATAAGAAATAGTATAAATTTGTTAAAAATAATTCATTAAAACATGTAAAACACATATTTACACAAGAGGGCTCCACCATTTCTGTGGACTAAGTAAATATAACAAATGTCTGGGTATATAGGTAATACTTTCAAACAGACCTGTTCATGTAAAAGGTATATTTTCCAACTGTATTTTGTCTTGGGTTAGGTTAAATGGAATGTTCTTCAACTGATAAACATTCAACAAGCCTGGCCTATGTATTTTATAGAAAGAATCTTTTGGCTTGTAATGATGATGAAAAGTCATATCAATTTTGTGTCCTTCACATTCTTAAAATGTGTTTCACTTATTCCTGTGGAGAAAGAAAAAAAGAACAGAAATATTTGGCAATATGAAAGGATAATAAGATCTTCTATGGAAGAGACAGTTGAGAAGAAACTCATTTTCCCAGGCAAAGATGACTAACCCGAGTTCCCAAAGATAAAAGAATATCGTGCTATGTTTCAGTATTATAAGTAATATAGGCCAACAAGAATCCCCCTTTTACTTCTGTAAAAGAGAAAAATGTATCTTCATGCCCAAAGTAAACATCACAAAAGCTTGGTCAACGGTTTTCATATTAAAAAAAAAATGTTTCAGGTCATCAGATAACTATAGCAACACAATGTGGAGAGAAAATTTTTAAAATGAATAAAAATATATACAGAATTTCTTGTATGTGTAGCCAAAGTATCAGCATTTTCCATATAGAACATCCAATATTTTGCTGCATTTTAATTAAGGTGTCTAAACATTATCACAAAGAACTGCAAATTGGTCAGAGCAAGCGGTAAGGAAAATTAAGCTCTAAAGGCTTTTTATCACCATATTTCAGGAACCAAGGGTGTAAAATGTTCTAATTTGGGATATATTAAAAGCCATAAAAGGTCTTTCAAAAAGATTAATGGTACTTTGCTTGGATTTAAGATAAGGGCTTTAGCTGGTTGGAAAAGCAGGGCCCTGGCTGGACCCTTGGGGCATTCATCTTTACAGCCACTTGGAAGATTTGTAAAAGCGTCTGCATAACCTCAAGCAAATGCACGGCGACATTTTTTTAATTCCTTTCAATTTTACAGGTTTAGCATGTGTAAATCATATTGGGCTGTAAAATAGATATAATGGCACATCTTGTAACATAGTAGAGATTTTTAAAAGACAAACTTTCAAAATAAAGTTGGTTTTTTCTTGCTAAACCTTTGCCAATTCTAAAGTTTGCTGATAATCATTTGAAGCATCTGATTCAAACAGCTTAATCTAGCATAACTGTAAACTTCTTATCCATTTCATAAAATATTTTACTCATCTCAAAATTACCAGCTTGTAACAGATTTATGAAGTTTTCTTCCCTTTTGAACACTTTCAAGGCACTTATTTAAAAATACCAATTATCATACTTTAACTTTTTATGGAATAATAGGTCTCTATGAAAAATATTTATGCCATTCTCTTTTGTTCTTTAATTAAATGAAAACAGATGTTTTCTGAAGTAAAGCGGAACCATTACTGGAGTACTTAAAGTGTTAAGGTCTTTAATTTTTATATCAGTTTGGTCGACAATTCCTGATTGTCTTTACTCAAGCTCAACATTAATGTCAAGCAAGTTACCTAGGAGACGAAAGAGATCAAAGAGACAAAAACCCCTCCAATGTCTGATTAATCAAGCCTGCAAACAGCTTATTTCTTTTAGCCTGCATGCAAGTATGAAAATGAGATTCTGGGAGCCGAACATTGTGCAGATTTGTTCATTCTTATCAGAACAAAGCCAGCGGCAGCTTATTTCATGGATCATTGGCACTGTCATCACTGCTACACAGAACGGGTGACAGCTCCTCATTTT